GAGGAGAGGAGAGGTGAGGTGGGGAGAGGAGAAGGGGGAGAGAAGGGGCAAGGCAGGGGAGCAAGGGGCTGTGTCGATGGCACAGGAGTCCATACCTTCTTTGTCCTCTTGCCTCCCATTCTGGTCCAGGGCTCAGCACTGTGCTGGGCAGTGGCAGCTGCCCCCTCCTGCTCGGGGATGCTTGTGGCCGCCTTGGCCTTGGCAGCAGCAGCTGCAGCCACATTCTGAGGCTCCACCCACCGAGTCTTGGCCAGCGCCTTCCCAGACTTGGTGGTCTTGGGCCGGGTGGCTGACCCCTCCCTGGCAGGTGCTGCCTGGGGCACACAACAGGCAGCACTGGGACCCTGTGTGGGGGCCTCTTGGGCCGGGGCAGGTCTCTTGGGACGAGGGAAGGCCATGCCACTGACACCTGCCGGCTGAGTGAAATCAAAGACATCCTTCTGGCCCAGGAAGGCTGTCTGGGGCTGGGTGGCATCCCTCTCGCTGGCACTTGGAGCCTGAGTGAAAGCACAGGCGGTGCTAGGGCCCTCTGCAGCGGCTTCCTGCGCCAGGAAGGCTGTCTGGGGCTGTGTGGAGGGTGCTGGAGCCCCAGGGGCAGCCCCCTCACTGGCGACTAGCGTCTGGGAGGTCTGCTGAGAGGCATGGCTGGTCTCAGGGGTGGCCCCCTGAGCCTCGGCATATGTCATTGGCTGGGCGTCCTCTACTAGGGCCTGCTGTGCGGCCCTCATCTGGTTGGAGATGGCCTGGTTGAAGGACCTGCGGGCAGCAGAGGCAGCAGCCCGATTGGCTCGGTTGGAGGCGGCAGAGCGGGCTACGTTGGCAGCGCGCGCCTCCGTCTCATTGGCAAGGGTGTCCGGATCCAGCTGCAATGCCTCCACCAGGGTCTGGGCCAGCGCGGGGTTTTCCAGTTCCCAGGGCTCATTCTGCAAGGCCAGAGGAGCGGGGCGCGAGAGGGGAGGGCACACACAACTCTACACACTGCCATGGTGCTTCCCTGGTGGCCCCGCCTCCTCCCACCAGCTGGCCCTGGCCACCCCTCAGCAAGACAGGGAAGGTTCGGGAAAGCTGGCCATGCCTTGCCCACTCGGCCCTCCCCCTTCCTTCACCCACCCCGCTGGGCAGGGGTCAAGGCTCAGGGCAAGCAGGTGCCCAAGAAGGGGCCTCACCGCTAAGAAGCGAAAGCCTGAACCCAAGCTCCCAAAGGCTCTCAGGAGATGGATGTCAAGGCTGGTGAGGGTGCCATAGCCACCGAAAGCACCAAATTCTTCATAGTCGTTGCCTCCAACCATCTCTTCCTCCCTGGCTCGCTGGCTCCCCTCATCCATGTCTCCAGAGTTGGAGTTTCCCGACTGCCCGCTGCGGCTTCTCTCAGCCATGCCGCGGGTCCCAAGGAGGAGACAGCTCAGCCTGAGAGGGAGGGTGAGGCAGCTTCAGGGGAAGGGTGCGGGATTCAGGGAGGCGGGATCTCTCGCGAGCTGAGGGGCCGCAATCATCAGGTTACTAAGCAGTACAAGGCAGCACAAGGAGGTGGTGGTGGCGCAGCGGTGGCGGTGGCAGCGAGGGGGTGGGGGTGGGGGTCTGACCGGGTAGCCGCGGTCAGGGGCAGAGCCCCACCACAGGGATAGAGGAGGCCCCGTCCCCAAAGGGCTGTTGAGCACCAGCAGGCTCCCCATCCCTGAGGCTAGGTTACAGCGTTTGAACTGGGGGTGCACCTGAGAGCTCAGGTCCCAAGAGTCCCGAAGGGATGCGTTGAGAGAGGGAGAAACAAAGGGCTTGGGCTTGAGGGCCACAGCTGGGGACCACGACCAAGGGGGAGCAGATGCCAGGGCTCAGACGACAGCGACAGCCCCAAGCTCTGGGAAACCGAATCCCGGGGACCTTGGGGCCAGGTCCCCGCCAGGGCGGGGGTGGACGGGGGATTCAGCTGATTCCGGTCTAGGCTGGGCTCGCAAAGGATGGCTAGGGCTGGATGGTGCATAGGATGAGGGCCTTGGACTGAGGAGGCGAGGTTCCAACTGGAGCCCTGGTGAGCTCAGGTCCAAGGGGCCGGGACTCCGGGAAGGGGGCAAGCGGTCAGCTCCTCCGGAGTCATCTAGGAGCCTCAGAGTGGGGGTGGGGCCTCGGACCTAAGGAAGCTCAGCTCTGAGCACACGGGTCTGCCCCACGGGTGGGGAGCATGGGCTCTGGGGCCGGTAGGCTGGGGTCTGGGCGCGCGGGCGGGATGGTCATAGCGGGGGTGCTCCTATCTCCACCTCGGGTCTAAGGGGGTTCCGGTTCCGAGCGCTCCGGCTTTGTTCAGATCCGGAGGGCGGGGGCAGGGCGCAGCGTGTCGGGTTGCACTCGCCCTCGCCAGGTCCTGTCTGGGGCTGGATCCTTACCTTCCCTGGGGCTCCAATGGCGTCGGTCCTGGGCACCAGGAACCCCGCAGCCGCGCCCTCGTCTACTGCTGCCAGCACAGCAGCTCGGACCACCCCGCCCCTTTTCTCCGCGCACCCCCGGCGGCTGAGGAGCCTGCGCATGCGCGGACCCCTCCAGCCCTCCCGCTTTCCCAACAAAAGCCCTTTCCTCCAGGTCCCCAGTGCGCATGCGATTCCGCGGATGGGTGGGTGGGCAGGGGGGCGGCGGGGTGGGGGTCTTCTTCCCGCCAGATGCCCCTTCACCCCTCCTCCTCCCACCGCAGGCGAGCTCACTGTACCCCACAGTACAGCTCCACGCACCCAAGTTTCTGTTCTCAACCCACACCCCTCACTGTTGCTCAATGCTTCTAGCTCCTGACCTTTCACCCAAGCTCCTCCAGCCTGGTCCTGGATACTTTATGCCCCATTTCCCCGACACGTCCCCATTGGCCACGTTAAAGAGGTCTCTGGCAGCGTCTGGAACCGCAACAAGTGGGAAACCCTGGACTTGTGACCTGTGGGGCCAGGAAACTGTTGTTGGCCAGGGGATGGAAGCGCCCCTCGCGCTGCCCTCCACCATCCATCTCTAGGACCCCCAGACACTCTGGCTACATCTGCCACCTCCACTGCCTTTCTTGCAGCTTGGCAGGCCACAGCGGGATCCGTTGCCAGGCCTGTGTTCCTCTCTCAGCAGCTCTGGCAGGTGCATGGAGCCTCCCCATTTGACAGACCAGGAAACAGAGGCACAGACAGACACAGGGCAAGGGCCAGACAAGTCCCCGGAGCCAGTGAACAGAATGTGCACCATTTGGGCCCGGTTCTTTCTGACAGCAAAGTCCCTTGCTGTGCTCCTGCAGGCCTGGGGACCAAGGCACCCTCCTCTCCTCCACTGGAGCCATATACCTCCCCCACCACCGCATCTGCCCCAGAGGAGCCAGGGTTGTGCTCTGGGAGGCCTAAGCTCATGCCCTGAGCTCCGTGTGGGCCCATCCATATGTGGCCCTTGTTCCTTGCGGGGGGGTGTGGGGGGTCTGGTCTGCTCTCTGCTGCCACTGCAGAGCCTCTTGCCTGTGACGCCCTCAGGCTGCCTTCAGAGACCTTCCAGGTGCCCTGAGGGAGCTGCCAAGACAAGTGGGTGTTTCTTGACAGTCTGTGCCATGGCAAGCCCTGGTTCAGAACCAACGCTTGCCTGCCCCCTTCTACGCCAGGGGTGGTCTTGCAGAAAAAAAGCTACGTCCCGCCCCCGGCTGTGGGAGCCTGCTGGGGTCACTAGAGCCCACTGAACCTGGCTCTCCAATGTGAAAACATGGGAAGCACAGTAAGGGGGTCCTGCCCAAGGACATCCAGGCTGCTGTGCTTCTAGGATGACCAGGAGAGACTGCTTTTGAGGCAGAGAATGGAAAAGCCCCATCTCAAATCGGAATGCAACTCTTCTTTTCGCAAGAAGAAAACACGTGAATTTATTTCTGCTCTGTGTGACACGGAGCCTTCAGAATGAAGACCCAGAAGAACAGGGAGACCTGTGTATGTGGGGGAACAATCTTGCAGAAGTAGGGTTGTGGGACCAAATGGCATAACAGAATGCTAATAAAAGGAGGGGAGCTTCAGAAGCCCTGCACCTTGGGATTCGTTTCTGTGTCCCTGCATGACATCCACTTATTCTGGGTATGGGAAGGACCCCTCTGGAATGATGTTCTTAGGGTCCAAGTTAGGGGAGCTTTGGAGCATTCTTTGACAGCCGGCTTCAGGGGAGAAGGGTGGGAAAAAGTCAGAGAGCCTTCCCTCCTTCTGCTCTTTTCTCCGATGCCACGGCACCATATCCTGGGGCACAGTGTCCTGAACCCCATCGTTCATCCTCCCCAAGAAGTTGCCACCAGTCAACTGGGTGGGTGTGTTATCTCCCAAGCCATTGGACCAGTCTCCTCCGGTCAGGCCAGTCCAGTTAAACAGCCAACAGTGTGTCTAGGTACAAAGAGGTGGCTTCGCAGGTGGGCTTCCACCCCAGTGGGCCTCCCAGTGGTGGGATCCAACAGGTGTCTAGTGACAGGCATTGCTAAATGGAAGCAGAGGAGGAGCCAAGGTTAGTGGTCAGAACCACTTCCATCTCTCAGTCCAGAGGGCCGTCGGTCAGGAAGATTTCCAGGTTGGAGTGTGAAGCGTCTTCAAGTGAAGAGAGGACTGTCAATGGCAGCCCAAAAGAGTTCCCTGGTCTGCGGTGTGGGTCAGGTGTTGCAGTGAACTTTCTGTGTGGCTTATTCAGAAACAGGTACAAAAGTTGTCCGTCCGTGCATAAGCTGCTGTGGTGATTTCTCTGGCTTCTGTAATGAGAATGTGTTGGACGCTTACTCTGTCACAAGCACCATTACAAACACTTGATATCTTAATATTTACGTGTAATAGCTCATGGAGTCCTCACAGACATGTCATGTGATGAGACAAATATTTGCCCATCCTCATTTTATAGATGAGAAGGCCGAAGAACACAGTAACTTGCCCAAGGTCCGGGGTAGCAAGACTTAGAGACCTTGTCTGTATAGACTGAGAGCTGGTGGAAGAATTGAGGAGTTCTCAAGGGTATTAAGTAGGTCTAATTTGGGGAGCCAGTGATTTTCATTTGCAATTAAGCTTGTTTTTCACGGATACTCTGGAATATTAAAAAAAAAACATGCATCTTATTGGGACACCATGTGATGTTCTGATAGACCTGCATATTGTATAATGTTTACTTTCCCTTAATTCATTTTATCCTATACATAAATCCTAGGAATGGTACATATGTTACTATGTAATGTTTCTATGGCCTTGTACGCTATGTAATGTTTAAATCAACTCAAACACGTCTATCTCCTCCAATGCTTCTCATTCCTTTATGTTCACAACTTTCAAAATCCTTCTTTTAGCTCTGTGAAATGTTCAGTACATTGTTACCGTCTACAATCACCCTACTCTGCAATGCCACACCAGGGCTTGTTACTCCTCCCTAACTGTGTCTCATCACCCATTGACCAACCTATATAATCAGTCCCTCCTTCTCCCCTTCTCTCCCCAACCTCTGAGAACCACCACTCTACTCTCAACTTCTGTCAGATTACACTTTTCACATTCCACAAATGAGTGGGATCATAGGGTACTTTTCTTTGTTGCCTGGCTGCTTTCACTGAACATAGCAATGTCACACTGCAAATGACAGGATTTCATTGTTTTATGTCTGCATAGTATCCCTTATTTATATGTACTATCTTTTCTTTATCCATTTCATCCTTTGGTGAACACTGGGGTTTTTTCCATTTCACTTCTTTTATAAGATTTATTTATTCATTTGTTGCATGTTGATAAACAAAATCATGCTGTATTTATTGTGTATGACATGAGGATTTGAATGTTCTTAAACATTGAGGAATGCCAGGCTAGCAGTTTTTGGAATTACGGAATCAGAACTTGACCTGATTAGTTTCCATCTCTCAGAAATCCCTTTCCTGTGTGGTAGGCTTCTCATATAAATTTTCAGTTTATAAATACTTAGGTGGTAAGCAAAATCTTTTTGCTGTTATTTCATCCTGGTTGTAACCATAAGGATCTGTCCTATTTCTTTGTTTTTTTCTCACTGAACCTTGTGCTTTTAAGATGTTTCAATGTTGCTATGCAAACAAGGAAGATGTCTCTAAGCTGTTATGCACTGCAATGAGGTAGTGTGTGTTTGTAACATTTTACCTCTGAATTCCCCTAAGGGTGGATAAACATTTTCCCATTTATGGTAATAACAATGCATTTATATTTTCTAGGTAATTAGTGTATGATTTTTTGTATAATCATTTAACAAATGTCTCTGGGGTAAATATCTGGAGGATGGCATAGGAATAAATTCTAAAGGACAAAAAATACTGCTTGATTTTCAGTGTCATACTGTTAAGAAATTATGGCACAAAGGCTATCAGGGAGATGGAGCTGTTTCTTCCCCTTTCATTCCTTGGGGGAAGTTCTGTCTTACTTGATCTTTATGGCATCGCCTTTCCTTTTCTGCATTCATAACTGAATGTACCAGTGTTAATTTCAATTTATAGGTGCATGGTGATGTGAAAATACAACCCTTAGCCTGGAAGATTTGTTTGGGGAGGACAGAGAAGTCCTCTTCAACCCAGTGTTTCCCCTACAGCTATCTTTTCCCTTAGGGGCTCATGCAACAAACTTGTTTACCAGTAAGTCAGTGTTCTGGCTCTTAAATTGGTCTCACAGTATTCAGATTGTCATCATTTAGGGTTCTTTAATTCTTAATAGTTTGACCTTATCATTTAGATAGTACAAATTGTAAACACTTCTCATAGGCAATTCAATGACTCTTCGTATTCCTGATCACTTTGGAATGAATCTGACCTAACTTTCCTAAGTACATATATGGATATACTACAGTGACTCTCACCATTATGTATATCCACAAGACACTAATTTAAAAATGTAAGAAAATAGCAGAAAGATCTGTACAGTAGACGAAAGGGATTATGGAAGAGGGAGAAGGTGGAGGGTAAGTGTAAGTACTGGAGACTGAATTGAGTAAATCAGATTCCATGTATTTATAATTATGTCAAAATGAATCCTAATGTTACATATAGCTAATGTGAATCAATAAAAATGAAATACAAGGAAAGAAAACAATATTTAAAAGAATTGGCTACTTCAGATTCTCTTTAACTAGTAATCACATATATCTAACTTATTGCTGTCTTTTCTTGCATAGAATATTATTTTATGTACATCCATCCACCACTTAAATCTGTCAATTCATCCATCTTTTCTGTTTGTTTTTTAAATTTATTTATCCATTGCTCTAATAAACATGATTTTGAATCTAATACATAATGGGTTCTGGGTTAGGCCCTCAGGATATACAATGGAGAACAAAATAGATAGTGGAACCTTTCACTTTGGGGCTTGTACTGGAATCTGAAGACATGTTGGTATGACGTAGGAGAATTGCAAGACCAAGGCCAGCCTCAACAATTTAGAAACTTTGCAAGATTCCATCTCAAAAGAAAAAAAGGGGGGGGGGCTGGGGATGTGGCTTAGTGGTTAACTACCCCTGGATTCAATCCCTTGTACAAATGAATAAATAAATAAATGTCCGTATGAAAGTTTGTTGTAGCTG